ACATCATATTTTATATTTCTATATAATTTTCCCCAATTTATTTTTTACTCTTTAAATTATAAAATGTCAAGCTCTCGTGGTGGTCGTGGTTCGAATTTCGGACAGAAACGTAGAAATATCGGCACCGGCCCATCTTCGTCGAGACCTCCATTGCCGGAATTTGCGAGTCCGTCGATACATGTGGATATTCCCAGTGTCGCCGATGACATTGATGAGGCGACGATCGAGCGCATGCTTGGCTCAATTCATCCTGAGCAACAAGAGCAACAACAGCCGTATCACGACCATTTCGATGATATATTTGGAGAGTCCCCGCCGGAGGTTCAGCAACCGACGCAACAGCAACAGCCGGACCCGGAGGTCGCGGACCCGGGCCACCCAGCCTCTGCCTTCGCCCCTGCCAGACCGGCATCTGCCATATTCAAACAACATTACACGAAGGTGGCCAATCCGACAAGAAGTGAGAATCACTTTTTAGCTGTTTGCAACTACTGCCCGGCGAACGACAAGAAGCAATACCATTTCAAAAAAGGCGATGGGTACGGATCGTTGAAACGACACTTAGAGAGGGTTCATCCGACAAAATTGGGAATTGACAGAGCACAGACGCAACTCCCAAGTAGTAGCGCTGCATCAGTCACGATTGGTACAGGTACGCCAACTTTATTTCAGTACTCACATGAAAATCATCGACGCCATTTAGCTGAATTTGTTTCTGCTTCATCTCTTCCGTTTAGCTTTGGTGATAGTGATTTATATGAACATTTTGCTCAAATGGCTTTGAATCCGGCTGCCCACCGGGTTCCACGTACTACTCTTACTCGCGATATTCGAAAAATAGTGGCGGAAAAAAAAGTAATTTTGCAAGAAACATTTAAATCTTTAAATCATAGAGTATCCATTTGTGCTGATATCTGGTCTGATCATTGGCAAAATAATTTCTATTTGGGAATTACTTATCATTGGATAGATGAAAATTGGAGTTTACAAAAACGTTTAATTGCTTATGTTGCATTTCATGAACGACACACTGCTTCTAATATTGCTCGTTTAATTTCAAAAATTTTGGATAAATATCAAATAGGTAAAAAAGTGTTTTCCATTTCGTTTGATAATGCTACTGCAAATACTGCATCTATACGTGAACTTACCGATATTTGCACTCCAATTTGCGGCGGAAGATTTTTTCATATTCGTTGTATATGTCATGTCTTAAATCTCTGTGTACAAGCTGGTTATCATGCTTTTAAAGATTCGGTCACGCCAATTAGGGACACTGTTAATTATTTACATAAACGTCCCCATGAAATGAAAGCATGGGGACGTTTTTGTAAAGATCAAGGGGTGAAACCTAAAAAATTTCAACCGACGTTCCTAACCGGTGGAACTCAACATTTAAAATGTTGAGTGACACGGTTCCGTTTATGACACAATTGCAGAATTTTTTTAACCATTCAAACCGTAAGGACTGTGATGTTCGAGTGTCAACAAGAGATTGGGAGAACTGTAATGCACTTATTCAATTTTTAGAAACATTTCAAAATGCCACTAACATGCTTTCTGGTGTTTATTATCCTACTGCTCAGCTTGTGTTAGGTCAAGCTATAGCCATAATGTGGGATTTCAAGGATCTTTACAACTTAAATTTCAATAAATATGGCTATTTAGTTGAGGAAATGTTAAAGAAATGGTTGAAATATTATTATTTCATTCCTGATACACATTTAGTTGCATGTTTGTTAGATCCTTCGGTACGTGAAGCTCGCTTGGTAAAGCAGCTTAACATGTATTATAATTATATGTATGAACTCCCAATCCCGACTGATGTCCCAACATACAGTCAAAAACCTAACGTACTGCTGCTCGTCGAGCAAGCAAAAAATTTGTTGTATGACATGTTTAAGGAAACAGCGATTGCACAAGGTGAACCTCCCAGCACATTCGTTCGTTGCGGCAGGGGCAGCAGCAGCGGGTCTTCTTCTTGCGGCGGTAGTCAAGTAGGCGCTTCGAACTTTCAGGAGTGGTGGGCATCATTAAATCCCTACAAGAATGTTGGCGTTGAAAGGGCAAAGGGAACTGGATACTATGAGCTTGATCACTACTTAACGTCGAATTTGATTCTTACGATTGCTCGTGAACCAAGTCCGCCACTCAATTTCGATGTCTTGGACTGGTGGTCGAGAATGCAAGGTATTTATCCTATTCCTTGCTTGATGGCCAAGGAGATTTTCGCCGTCCCAACATCTACAGTTGCGGTCGAACAAGCCTTCAGCGAGGGAGGTTATATGCTCGACGCACGACGATCGCGGCTGACGCCCGAAAACCTACAAGCACAAATGCTGCTGATGGATTGGAAAAAAGCCGAACGAAGGATGCAAACAACTATGTACGTAGATGACGAAGCAGACGACGACGATGACGCATCTGATTTTACGAGTACGACGAGTGGTGGAACCGGAATAGGAGATGACGAGTATGACTATTAGAGACCACCAATCGTGTACAGGTAAGTAAATCGAAAGAACTACGTGGACTTTGATTCCCAATATAAGGGATACGTAGGCAAC